CTTCCCTCTGCAGTGTTGTTGTTCTGCGTAGTTTTTTCCCTTAGTTGACTCTTACAACACCCACCACTTATGAACCCAAAATATCTACCTAACTATGCTTTTTTACGATGTAGGAGAAAAATGTGCAAAAAGGTCACCTGATAGGAAGTGACTTCCCATGAACATCTGCAACTGAAAGTCACAAGTGGATTGCTGGCCTTTGAGATATGCTATAAGGGAATACGCTCTTATCTTGAAGATTTGTGTAAGTAGTATAGTACGCCACGCCAAATAACTCTGCATCAACGAAGTTTGCAAACAAACGTACTGAGCATACAAATACATTTTATCTACTGTTTTTATATATATATAATTATTATATTAATCAATTTTGTTAATAAATACTAAACTCCCCAATCTTTACCGTTTGATGGCGAGATGCGCCCTTTTTTATACTAATTAACACTTAAGTAATTACTACTTACTTTTAAAACTGTACAATAATAGGTGACCGATTGACCAAAGCTGGTTGCTTGGTACTCACCAGATCTTGCACCTACCGACTATTACTTTTTCCAAAATTGAGACAACTTTTTAGTGGGTAAAAAATTCAATTCCCGAGAGGCAGTACAAAATGCCTTTGAAGAGTTTGTTGCCTCCCGTCCAGCTGATTTTTACAAGAAGGGCATCAATAAACTGCCAATGCGTTGGCAAAGATGCGTCGATTGCATGGGTGATTACTTCGAATAACAGAAATAAAAAAGTTTGAAGAAATAAGTACTTTCACTTATTGCATACAAAACGGCAATTTCATAGGTAAAGACCTATTATTATTTATTGTATTGTATTCCACCGGCTTTGAAATGGCGCACACTTTGACGCGTCGCAAGGAGTAACCTCCCTAAACCTATTCTTGGGTCGCAATTCCCAGGCGCTGTTGAAGTCTCATGTGTTGCCCCATCTATCACGCGATGAACCCGGTACCCGCACGGTGAATCCAACGCTAAGAAATAGGTCTCTCTTAAATTGTAATTGTGTGTGGTGTGTGACCGTGTGGTGACGGACTAAGAATACAGAGTGTCACCACCCCTATTCATCCCGTGGGTGTCGTAAGAGGCGACTAAGGGAGTAAACTACGCAGGATAACAGCACTGCAGAGAGAAGGAAAACTTGACACAAACCCTATACCAACCCGTCTGGCCAGCGTGGTATAGTAGGCCAAAACCTCCTTTCTACGGAGAGGCCTATGTCCAGCAGTGGACTGTTAAAGGATGTTGATGTGATGTGATATGATTGCGGACCTATCTCTTACTGACACAGGTTCGACGGTCATCGAGGAGTAAATCCCTAAATTTAGTTTTCAGCACACCTTTGTTTATTTTAATATTTTGTTTTAGTTTGCTTGCATTATCAGGCTGAAAACAAGTGGGTAGTAATAAAATTAAATTAATTTAATTCAGATTTGTATAATGTAGATGTACATATGTATATCTATTTTCGAATGGTTCACGTGAATGTTTTAAATACTCAACAACTCTGGACTAGATACACGAGCGTTTAACGTTACTTGTTTACAATCTTAGCGGTAGAACAAATTTTTATCGCTAAGTAACATGAAAGCGTGACAATATTAACTACCTAGTTACCCTCAAAATAATCAAAAATAAATATTTAACTTCATGTAGAACATGACATTAAATAATCATATTGGTTAGTATGAGAAACTTCAATAATATAAAAAACCTGAGACGGAAAAATAGACCTTAATACATTAAAATAGGTAGCGTTTTCGATTAAAGAAGTATATTTTAAGGGTCCCTTGAAACTGATATATCACTGTTAGCTTTGTGATTGATAAATTATGACGTATTAGGTGATAAGCGAAAGCTTTAAAAAATTAGGGGACAAGTTAAGAAATGGAATCTCGTCTACATTTTTTTGTTTGTTTTTACTCTCCTTAACTACTGAACCGAATCATCATAGGATTTAATAGCATTCAAACGATTAGAGGGAATACATAACTTTTTAACTTATGTTAACTTTTGTTTGACTGGCCTAATAGTCTAGTCTTTGGTGACCCAGATTGCTAAGTCAGACGTCGCCTATGTGTTGTTCAGTCTGTAGTCGTGTAGCTAAATTTTATCCAGATCATTTTAGGGATTCTTGGCGTAATCGAGTAACAAACGCCCATACATAGAATCCCGCAAACTTTCGCTTTTACAATTATTTCGGATCCCAAACTAGGCAAAACCTGTACTATGGTTAATCAGTTAGGGTCACTAACCACTAAACCAACAGGTCACTCCAGTATCCTTGAAATACATACAAGCATAACCGCGTTTTATGATGGAATAAACTAAACTAATTAAAACCCTGGCAGGGCCCCTAATCAACCAGTTCACAAAGATTAAACTTTTCGTCAACCACCCGGAATACACATCATCATCATTATTAGTCTATCGCCGTCTACTTCTGAATGCATGCCTTTGTTTATGCGCAAAAACCCCTCGGGCCGTCCCGCTTGTGATTTTAGTCGGCATCGAACCGACTAAAACCACAAGGTGTGCCACTCTGCGCCTTAAATAAATGGGATCCAGGAAAATCTGTTATTACATCTGGACCTGCTGAACGAAAACCTCCCCCAACGAGCGCCAACCATCCCGGTCCGCATCCATCCAAAATATACAAGTGATTAATTAATATACTACTCACGAAAGTTTTACTCTAATATGATAAAAATTTGCCAAAACGTCTACAAAATGTATCAGCAGCATGTTGCCATTAGCCAGTCTCCGGATGGGAGGTATCCTGGCCAAGTTATCATTGTCCGCGTCCCGATATCTGAAGTAACAAAAGATGATTATGATTGATCTGTGTCAGATGACAGGCCATGACACTAATGGCTTTAATTTAGTGAGGGGCAAGTGACGAAACATCGATATGTCCATATTTTTTGACAGATCGTGACATGTAATGAAAATTTGCTGGCGTCTTTTGAATAACTTTCGGGAGTGGTAATCATATTTTTAAAAGAAAAAAAAGAATAGCTTCACTAATTGTGTGTATTGCGGGGATGACCGACTAGTTTACCTGATCGGTCGAATCCAAGGGAGGGTTGGGTACAACGCCTAACACCGACGCGGAAAGTCCTCTAACATCTAGACGAGGGCATTCCTGATTTTCCTGCACCGTTTTTCCTTTATGTAATTGGAATCTTTGATTGTGGGACCACATTCTTTGATAGATTTGAGTTTAATCCCGGTGCTTACAATTTCATATTATTATTTAAAGAATTAGTTTAGATTAGTCATCGAAATTGAAACCTGCTGTACCTATACCTACCTATGTATCTCATAGTAAATTGTAAAATATGTTTGGAAGTAACTTATTATTCAAAATTGCAGAATTGTGGAATAAATGGATCAATACGGAAGGAAAACCTATTCCTAAATAGTTAGACCGATTCAAAAATGTGATATTAGTCACTATCGATATACTAAATGAACATCACTGAAACACTTTTTACGCCAACAAAGGAGAAATTGGGCAATCTCTTTAACAGCACAATGACATTTCAATATTTTTGTTATAAAAACCGATTACGTGTGTTTTTCTACTAAAAACTTTTCCTTTTTCGCCAAACTTTATTGGGGCCGGGAACAATAATAAATGGTATTTTTAGTTGGCTATGTATTTAAGAGATCTCTAAGTAAATATTATTTTTCCAGAATGCGATGACACGGCAGGTTTTGATTGGGTACTTGGTATATCAAGACAACTGGAGCATTTTATTTTTGTACGTAGATTTTTTGAAATATAGAAACCTGTGTAGAAACACGATGTACCTTTTTTTTTTTTTTTTTTCCGTGCGGAAATCCCCTCGGATACCACCGTCGGTGGCATGTGATCCCCATTGAAAAGGAATATCTTTTCTATATACGCCTTATAATTCTTAACCTGCGACAGGCCTTGGCCACATTGAAGAAACAAAGTAATAAAATAGTAATGGATACTGGAGTGGAGTAGTGTTCCGTGTAGTGGCGGATGAAGAATACGGAGTGTCACCACCCTTTTCATCCCGTGGGTGTCGTAAGAGCCGACTAAGGCAGCAAACTACGCAGGACATCATCACTGCAAAGAAAAGACAAACTTGAGACAAACCCTATTCTAACTCGTCTGGCCCGCGTGGTATAGTAGGTCAAAACCTCCTTTCTAAGGAGAGACCTATATCTAGCAGTGGACTATTATAGGCTACAAACGCACATACATACATATGGATATAACACAAATACTGGTCCAATGTAAAACCTTACTTTGAAGTCGGTTTTTACACAACCTAGCGATGGGGAGAGGCTTCGTCTTCTTCAAGGTAGTCAGACTTGCAGAATACTTACCGTCGCTATCTTAGAAATGTTTTGGCTACAACCCAGTGTTTATAGAGACAGATTATTCAGAGCTTTTCGACATAAAGTGTGAGGCTAAAGAGTCACCTTGTGTTTCTTAGCTGCTTCCCTACTCTTTGCAAAAGGAGATGGAATTGTGCTACGGACCGTGGGCAGCGTCATGTGATAGGCCATCCACCTCGAATTCAAGGCAACATATCGGCTAAGCTCAGCAATCTATAAAAATACAACTATAAATCGTGTTGTATAAACTTTTTTTACTTTTTTTTTAATAGCGAATGTAATTGACATATTATACATAATATACACTATTATAGCATCTGATAGAGCTGAGTAGAAGATTTTTTTGAAAACACTGTGACTACGTAGAAACCAATTCTATAGAAACTTTAGGTAATAAACACAGAAAATAAAATACGAGTTAATTAATACTTTCAAAAAAATTCTTTAATAATTAAAAACATTTGAATATAAGAAAGATAAAAATATCAAGGAGTACATTAGCATGTAAATTGAAGCTTCTTTGAAGCTGAATACATCAATCAAATACGCACTAATATTCGTGTTTTTTGTTATATTTTCGATTGAACCATAAAATTCAAATCAACTGACTTCTTTTTATGTGTTTTGTTCTCCTCTGTATTCTGTTTCTTCTACACCATCTATATCTGGTATAACTAAACAAGTCTGTGGTGGATTAGTCACGTTAAAATTTAACCTTAGTGTTTGTGTTCTTTCTTCTTGATCGAAATAAAAATCTGTACAGTCTGGATCTTGTATACAAAAAAAACTTATTATAAGTTGTACCAATCTTAAAAATTCTCGAGCCCATCTTGTTTTTAGATCCCTTAGTGTTAGTAAGATGTATGTTAAAGCACTAATATTAAGAGATGTTTGAGGCCCAGCTGAGGAAACTATTGCTAGAACATTCGAACATTGATCACCTAAAGGAATAGATAGAGTTCTATCAATTACAGGTGGTTCTGACTTGCTGATTTCTGCAAAAATATTATCTGACAAACTTTCACCAATAAGATCAATAACTTCTGTTATACCACCAAAAATATTCAAACCCCTCGGTGGTATAAAATTATCGTCACTATCAGATTCTTCAGAAGTTTTTATGATGATTAAATTATCACCGGCTAAAGTTGTCAATGATTCGGATGCTGTCATGTGAGATCTATTGGGATCACTAATGTTATGATGTCCAGCATCCCGTTTTAGCATCTTGTATGTGCAAGATGTACATGGGTCCGTTACATGCTTATGATTAAATTCTGACGGGATCATGGCGACTATGTAAAGAAAATGTTTTGTGAAATTTGACGTCAGGAGGTGCAAATTTGAAAGTGAATTTAGAGGTCTTCCTGGCAAGCTTGCTTTAAACATTTCGGCATTCTCTAATATGCCATTTTTAACTAGAGCATTTAGTGTACGTTCTGGTTCTAATTGGATTTTTTCTAACTTCTTCCACTTAAATCTCTTGTGCTGAACAATGGTGAACCGAAAAATTTCTTCTCTTTCTTTATCTTCTAACTCTGATCTTATGTAGTTTATTGTGCGAAGAGTTTTGGGGATGATATTTTTCTCTAATATTTTAACTCGCCTGAAAAAGTTTATCAATTTTTATTGACCTTATCATATTTTTTTTTTTTATTTATTCTATGGCACCAATTACTGAGGTCTACAGATTAATTTATTTTCGTTAAGTATATAAATATTTATATCCCAACTATAGTCCATTCGTGTTAAGAAAATAGTGACGTATTGATTCATCCCGCCTCCTGACAAATCAGGTTCCTAGAACTTATCGTTTTGTACGAAAGCTTGATCAGTCAGGCTTGATCGATGCGTTTTAACGCGAATAGTCTATAGTGATTATGGTTAGCATTTCTTTAAAAATCTTTGTAATTACTAATAAATTTATTTAAACCTATTACTGTTGACTGGTTAGGTTTGATTAAGTCATGTAAATTGTAAATAGGTTACATAAGTAAAATTTTAAGATAAAATAGCCACCATTTGCAACATTACACATTGACTTTTAGTAAGATGGTGACCGCGGCTTTGTTTCGTAGAATTAGTGCACATGACAAACAAAATATATTATCTGGTCAGTAGTACGAAGTGCCTGTGATTTCAATGAAATATAACTAGAGAAACTGAAACAAATTACGCAAAGTGGTTAGGCAACCTGACCAGGTATTTCGTTTATCGTATGTACATCGAGAATTGGATTATTTGTCGTACCTTTTACCATATCTATACTCTCTACTTTATCTACAAAAACTGTAGCAACATTGAAAATTATAAACATATTGAATTGTAATAAGCCTGAAGTTAAAAAACAATTCCAATCCTTTATTTCATGCACCCTTCAAGTTTAATTTTTGTGACAAATAATAGCTTGTGTTTCACAAGGGTCCTGTCTTTTCTATATATCGAGTTGGGTTATATGATGGTAAATGTCTACCGCTGCTCATGAACACCTGCCATTTGGAGGAACATACACAGAGAGAGTACAGTATGAGAAGGGAGGAATATCGCTTGGGAAGTTAGACCTCCTGTAAAGTCAAATCAAGTGTAAAATCACTTTAAAGACAAAGATTTAATACTATATTCAATGGAAAACTATTTACTATAGAGCCCTACTAGACGAAAGCCTTACTAGACTGAGACGAGAGACGCAACATAACCTGATACTAAAGCAATTCCAAGAACACAAACAGTGATTGCCTGTTGTCCTATCCGTGTAAACTTAGAATTGGCGACGCTTTCATTTGCAATAAGGGGAGGCTTAAATGCTTATTGTCCTTAATTTGCGTCAACAATAGCACAGCGGACAGCCTTTCTTCATATTCTAAGGTCTTTATGGCTACCTGTCATTGTTTTATGTTATGGTTTAGAAAATAGTTTACTTTCGTTTTCAAACAATCGTTTAAAATTTGTGATCGCATTTTAGGGCACCAAAATTTTGTCAGTTATTTTAAAAGGTTCCCAATCCGGTTGTATTTTTTTTCATGTTTGTTACCTCAGAACTCCGTAATTTATAATAATAATAATCATTTATTTGAGACCATAGTAATGCAGTCCATAGTGTTGGTGCATTAGTAACAATTTGTTTATAATTATGTTACCGGAGAACCTCTTCCTAACCCTGGAGGGTGGAGCGCTCCAAAGGCCTCATGCACTTATGTATGGCCCTTTACACTTTGCCAAAAAAAAACTATTTTTATAAATACCTCTGACGAGCATACTACTCTCTGTTTAAGCAAAAAAACTTTGCACCTAAGCAGTGCTTTCCTTTATCATTCCACGTGTTTTTATGGATATTGATACAATAACAACAATGAACAATAATAATGTTCTATTAATCGCCTTCACATTGTCCATTCTAACCTTGAATACCATTTAAACAACATTTTATTATCCATTACATAATAACTTTCAATTAAAAAAGCAACTATTTCAATCAAAACTCTTTTACACATAACAAAAAGGATCCAACACAAAACCGATTTGAAGTAATCTAAGTCAAATCATTAGATGTATTTCAACCCTCGGCAACTGAAACATTAAAAGAGACTTTTAAATATAAATGTAAAAGTTTAAACTGGGGCATTAAAACCTGTTAGCTAAATAGGCAAGCTGACAGACGGCGCTATTACAGAATAAGGCGTATTTATTTTTAAACTGGCTACTTCTATTTGATTTCAGGTTAATCAGGTTAGTCAGGTTATCTTGATTTTATTTATTATCACGGCTGTGATAGTGATATATAATTTGATAACAGCTGTCGGAGAAAACTTTTTGAAAGTATCCATCTATTTATGAGTGAAATTCAATGATTAAATATGTTGATGTAGTTTTACTGTATATTCCACTATGTATTTTTAAATATTTACAATTTAGTCTTAATCGCTGCATTTCGCGCAAAGCCTTTTTTGGCTTTGTGTGGCTCTAAGTCGCAAAGAATGTCTTTACGCACTTAGCGCAACATAATATCGCCTATTAGAATAACGTAACCGTAACCGCCCAACTGAGGATTAGCGCTAGCATTCTTCGTTCATCATCCCCGTAGATTTTGTTCTGCACCGATTGAGCTTAAATTTTGACACGCGGTGGTAGTTTATGCGACTACAGCAGTCGCATAAACTACCGCTCAGGTCTCTGGTTCGATTCCCGGGTCGGATCAAATTTTTGTATGATCTACAAATATTTGTTTCGGAGTTTGGGTGTTCTCTATGTATAATATGTATGTATTTACAAAAAAAAGAAGTATACAAGTATTCTATCAGTCAATCTAGCTTTCATAGTACAAGCTATGCTTAGTTTGAAACTAGATGGCATTGTGTGCCAGATGTCCGAAACATGAATATAATATTATTATTATCTACTTTTTGCAACCACATTGTGCCACAGCGAATCGTGGCAGGTTATAGCTAGTATCATTTTTTTAAACTGAATCGGGTAATTAGTCTGATTTTATCTGATCACGGCGATGTAAACTTGGTTAAGATACTCGGCCAGACCTTTTAACAGAAATGTTGCATCTCAACACAACTCTGGAGCCTATCACATCACATCACATCACATCAACAGCCTTTAATAGTCCACTGCTGGACATAGGCCTCTCCTTAGAATAGAGGTTTTGGCCTACTATACCACTCTGGTCAGACGTGTTGTTATAGGGTTTGTGTCAACTTTTCCTTCTTTTTGCAGTTGCAGTCCTGCCTTGTTTTGCGCCCTTAGGCCTCTTACGACACCCACGGGATGAATTGGGGTAGTGACATTCCGTATTCTTAATCCGGCACTACACTCACCACCACATTCGCTCAGCAGGAATAACATTTGATGGTGGTCGTTTTTCGTAGGTTGCTACCTGTCGCGACTTACATGAAGTATTTTAACTTACTTAGTACCGATTATTTACACAAAAATGAGAAAATAAACTCAATTATTTATTAATTCAAAAATGTGCGTCTTTTCCTATCTAATTAAATCAAAAGCATTACTTAGTAACTATAACTTACCTATTGTCAATACGATCCTAAATGAAACTAAAATCAATATTATTTTACTAAACAATCAAGCTACATGCAATGATATTATATACATACAAGAGGTAGACACGCCACCTTCGCACAAAACGTGAGGGTCCTAATAAGGACCACAAAAAGCTCGCGAACGTACTAATTAATTCGAAAACATTAATAAAATGCCTTCTGTCGCTGTACTGATTACAAATAGCTGTCTCTTACACTCGTATGTAGCATATGTTTTGTTCTAAAATGCATTAACAGATTATTTTTTTGTGCGTGCAGTACCTACGATTAGAACGCATCTTCCTTTAAATATTGGTTCTTGTGTTGTCTAGAGGACAGCGCCATCTATTATCGAGTGGGGCACAACGAACGCTACGCAATGAGATTATGGTCCTTAATTTCGATACTTGCAGAGCCACCTAGTGTCGAATATTGGAAGATTATAGACATTTGTAAATTCCTTATTGTACGTGGTTCTGGCTGAACATTCCATCTGATCCTCAGGATTAGTCTAGTAATTTCGATAGCCCTATAAAAGCTGAGCGTGTTAACTGTACGGGACAGTATTGTTTTGCGATACAGCAAATTAACATCGAAGTGAATTTCTAGTAATATAGTAATTTCTAGTTTTTAATAGTGAGTGTTTGTAAACACAGTGCAATAAAAGTAATTAACCGACAACTTTTTTATTGTATACCCGGTTCGTGACAATAGTCTTATTGTCACTACAATGTCTAGGGCTAAGTCGTAACCGAGTAACCTACTCACATTGCACATAGTCACATTGCAAAGGATCGCTTAACGATCCTAGCCAGGTTAGTCTATGGATGGGTGACCATTCTTAACACATTGAGACCCCTCCTTGAGCACGTTAAGCCGTCGATCACGCTGTCATACGTTGCCAATCTTTCTACAGAACTTCGATATTGCCTAAATACTTGGGTTGTGGAAGTGTGATGGCCGTCGCTCCACGTAAAAAAATCCGACCCAATCTAGTTCGGGATAAAAGCTCGGAGCAAGATTACCTATAGAATAAGGCTTGCACCACAAAAATCATTTTTTTTTAATGTTTTAAGGCCAAATTCCCATTACTGTAACGGGCCACCGCAGTCTCGGACGGGTCACTAGAGGTCCTGTGATTAGCGAGGCCACTAGAAGAGGGACATTAACTAACCACATCCACTAATATTTATGTGTGTATGTAATATTTGTACGCCATATTGTGTTGTGAATTTCATGTTCTTTTTTATCCCTACCCCTGTCCTTGTCACATTTGTGAGACTCCCTCCTCCCCCTAGTCGTCACATGTTTTTCAATTTTACATCTATAATTATTACATTACAGTAACAGTTTCGAAATAGGTTTGAATTTTATTTGGTTTGGTTGTAATTTTATTTATGTTTAATTAAATTAATATCAAATCAAAATTTCCAAAAATCAGCATCAATATACAAATTTAAAAAAAAATACAAAATAAAAAACGAGGAGTTATATTACTGTTAATAATTCAAGCGTTTAAATACTTAGATATACTTAGATGTATTAGATTTTGTAATTTGACGTCACGATACTAAGGAGCCTTCCAACCCCTTATCACACATCGACGACGTGGGACGTTACGTCGACTCTCCCCTTGAACGTGTGACGACGTTGACGTAATTTATGGATGGACCCCTAAATCTGTATACAATGATTGTTCAAATTATACTGGTCAATGAAATAAACCAACCAAAAGCAAAAATTTTAGCCAGAATTCGATCACTAGGCTATGTTTAGTATTTATAAAAGGCTGTTCAAAAATATTCCGTAATCAGTATTATATTAAGATGCACAACCTTACTACTCCGCCTGGGTCTCGTTAGCTCCTCCCCTTTCTTATTTATGGATGTCCATAGCCAACGAGTACTTATTTTATTTTTAATTCGCCCCCTCATGTAGCGGACATCTTGGATTTAAATAATCACGCATTAAAATACCGCGAAAATTGCTTTAGCGATTAGAGGTAAAACGGTTTTTTAGAACGATTTACTAACTCGTTTTTTTATCTCCCTCTCTTTCCATGCCAGGGTAGATTTCGTTAATGATTATAGCGTAACTTCCCTATAAATATGTAAGTAATTTAAATGTTGAAGATGTACAAAGTTAAATGATAATCCAAGAAAAAAGAAAAATACAAGAAAAGACTGTAAACTATTAATACATCTTATATACAAAATTCTCGTCTCACAATGTTAGTTACCATACTTTTTTTATGAAATTTTGTGTGCACATCGGGTAGGTCTGAGAATCGGCCAACATCTATTTTTCATACCCCTAAATGACAATATTTCCTAGAAATAATGTATATAGCAAAACAACGTTTGCCGGGTCAGCTAGTATTATATATTTTAAAGCCCAAAATCGATCTTAGTGGCGTACAATGGGAGAGGCCTACGTCTGATCATCGGACTGATTCGGCTGATCATGATGATACATTTTTTATCGGCACCGTTATTTATTTTGTGGGAAAAACAGAAACAGAACATGTGTACATATTTTATTTTAAAGTTTAGCCTGCTGATTGAATTGCTATTGTAATTAGTTACCATAGAGTTCAAGAAAAATTAACTAACCCGTTACCGCCTATCAAAATTTCTTTGAAAATGTAGGTACGAATAAATATAAAAAAGCCATAAACTTAAAGTTTGTGTGTGAAAAGCTGAAATTTATTGTCATGTGTATATTAAATTAAAAATATAATGAAATGAAACGTAACCACTAGGTAGGTAGTAGTAGAACGGCTATTGATGATCATGATGAATCAATCCGACTACTGGTCAAAATACTAAGTGATAAATGCTTTGCCGTGTGGAACGATGGCGGCAAGTATTAGTCCCAACAATTCCTCGGAGCACTTTCCATGATATGTGCGATAGAAAATGCAGAGTGAAGCTACATATCTACGCAAAGTCAAGGGATCGAGCACCATGTCGCAGCTCTCTGTATTCGTGGTTTGGTAGTGTGGTGTGGTTTGGCTTGTTCTCCTTGACGAGGTACGTGAAGGTCGGCGGGTGACTGCGGTTACAGACTCTAATGTTGACACCGTACGACAACTTATTGAAACTAACAAAAAATTAGTTACCAGAAAATTCGTGCTATGTTAGGTGTTGGAATGATCCCAGAGCAAAACATTTTACATGTGCATCTGAAGGTTCGGAAGCTTTGTACTCGATGGATACCGCCTGACTTAACGGAGGACCAGAAACGACCGCGTCCAGTGGTGCGGTAAAATGATAAGGAAGTTTAACGGAGGACAGTCATTGGCTGTCTATAATATCGTGACAGGTGACGAAATCTAGGTGTACTGCTTTGAACACGAAAGAAAAAGCCAGTCGGCGAAGTGGGTCTTTCCTTTTGAAGATTTGCCGACGAATTTTAAGAAAAGTTGAAGCATTGTTGAAAAAAATGGTGGCTTCCTTTTTCGTCAAATTAGGATATACCAATCAAGACAGTGACTGCAGACTGGTACGTCAACACTTGCTTATCCAGAGTCTTAGAAAAAATATCCTCGAAGCAATGTCCTCCTTCATCACGATAACGCATCCTCACATTCCACTAAGGTAACAGAAGCCTATTTTAAGGCTTCAAATGTGGAACTAATGACGCACCCGCCATACGGTTTCTCCCTAAACCTATACCTGGGTCGCAAGTCCCAGGCGCTGTCGAAGTCGCATGTATTGCCCCCATCTATCATGCGATGGACCCGGAACCCGCATGGTGAATCCATGAAACGTTAAGAAATAGGTCTATTTTTGCTTTTATAGTCATTTATGTTGATTATCCCCCGCGATACAGGATTTATTCCTAATGCGGGAGTTGTCTTTTTATTAAGAAAGAAAAAAAATAAAAATTATGGTTGCTATCAATAATATCGTGAATTCTATTATCTGTGCACATATCGATTCCGAAATTATAGTCATACAGCATTAGGGTCGACACATTCGAGCAAATATAAACATAATTATAATTATAGATTTTCTAAGAATCGAACGGTATATTTGAGGGATTCGATATTTCTTTTTGTGATTAATATTATATGCTTATATGTTTCTGGGAATAGCAAGTAAGCTTAATGTAAAGTATAAATAAGATGTATACTGGCCTGTAGTGTCTGGCAACCCTATACACAACTTGTCCAGATTGACTATTCAAACAGAATAAGCTATCACAAAGGTTTTGTATGTACGATACGATTTAGATATTATCTTTATTACCTACAATAATTGTATTGTTCTAATTCAGATGACAAAAATACACAGTTTAACTGAGAGCAAGCACTCACATTATGCGACTTGTTAACATCACGACTTTAATTACGCAATGCAGAATCATATTGGCTGATTCCACATCTCGGTCTATTGTCGGTAGATGGCACTAAAATAAATTGCATTGTATGTGCAATATGCCACAAAGTCTATCACATTTTAGTACAAATAAACCCTTTTAAAAAAAAAAGTTGAACCGACTTCAAAAAACACCGACAAAGAGCACTAAAAATTAAAAAATAATTACAAATCTAAGTAAAACACTATAATAAGTACCCTCAATGTAACAGGTAACATTATAATACCAATAGTCCCTTCTAGTCAGTTTGAAGTCGGTGCCAAGCCAAATAGGTGCTTGATAGGCATGGTAGAATGTAGCGCGGCAGCTGCAACAGTCTTCATGCTGCGCAAAACATGATGAACGAGCTAAAGTGGACGCACATCTCCAATTATATTATTATTTTGAATTCTTTAATAAGTAGTTGATAAGTTTGCGCACGTAATTGATCTGGTTGGTCTTTATTAATTAACAAAATCTTCGATGTTTCATTAGAATTATTTTGAATTCTTAATTTTTCATTGTGCTAATATAAAGCTGACATAGACCAGTATTACTTATTGTACATCGAGCTTGGCACCGACTTCAAACAGACTAGAAGGGACTATTGGTATTATAATGTTACCTGTTACATTGAGGGTACTTATTATAGTGTTTTACTTAGATTTGTAATTATTTTTTAATTTTTAGTGCTCTTTGTCGGTGTTTTTTGAAGTCGGTTCAACTTTTTTTTTTAAAAGGGTTTATTTTACCATTTTTAGTGTAGGATATGAAAATGACATTGGCGTCCAAACTGATCAAGATCAGCTTAAATTCTTTTCTAAGAAACAGTCAAATTCTTGTGAGTTGCAACCGAACAAAATAACTTCCGATTCAATTGACACTGATCTCGAAGGTGAAGATAGGGAAGCTTTAGTGAGACTACTCAACAAATATGCTCAATATTTTATAGAAGGAGTTCCAACTAGAAGGGTTAATACTAGTATGTTAGAAATTAACCTAGTTGACCCACCCAAAATTTAAGAGTTTTTTCCAGAACTATTTTGATAAATTAAGTATAAACTTACTTACAAACGAAATGCGATGCCATCCATAGCAACAAAACGTCTATCCGAATTATTTTAACAAAATAGAATACAAAATTTCAACCTTTTCTTCTTAATACAACGAAAATTACTGTGGTGACATAAATACTGCAAGTTCTCTGCGCATCACATCGCGCAGTCTCTGACAGTTGCCATGGTTTGTTTGGCTAAAGAAATACTCGTAGCTAAAACACGTTGTCGGGGCTGTCAAATTCCCAATAATTGTGAGGGTTTCACTCGATTTCTCTAGGATCCCATTATCAGATCCTGAATTGGTGATAATGGGACCAATTCGGGAGCATACCCTTTCGATTACAAAAAGAATTTTGAAAATCGGTCCACAATTGACGAAGAAATCGCGTAACAAACATACATAAAAAAAAAATATAGACGAATTGAGAACCTCCTCTTTTGTGTTTTGGAAGTCGGTTAAAAAGAAAACATACTGTCGAATCAAAAACCCTCCTTTTTTGATGTTGGTTAAAAATCGAGTAGCATGAAGCTCCTAGTCGAGACGAATCAAATGAGCACAAACACGGCGGAATTGCTTTATTTTATTACAGAGTTCCCATGGCTATTTACCGTCTCCATCATCAGACCCTGAATATCACATAGGATCGGAGTTCTTATTAATTAGACTCAAACACATTCAAATTCGATGGTATTACATAATTTTGTTACAGAGATCCCATACTCCTAAACCATTCATCAACAGCTTCATCATCAGCTCAGCAACATCAGATGGTGACCATTAGATGCAAAAATCTACATAGATTAAGATAATTTCTGATAAACAGTGTATATGCCTACAAAATTTGAGGGTTTCCCTCGATTTCCCCAGGATCCCATCATCAGATCCTGACCTGGTGACAATGGGACCACCTCTGACGTATGACCTACCAAATAAAAAAAGAATTATTCAAATCGGTTTATAATTGCCGGAGTAATCGCGTAACAAATATACAAAAAAAAAAAAAAAAAAATACTGTCGAATTGAGAACCTCCTCCTTTTTTTGAAGTCGGTTAAAAAAACGTAACAGATGTTTTTTTGTTTAATGCTTTTTTTGTTTTTCGCCTTGCTAAACAAATCTGTAAAACAACTCATCGCTGGCAATATTTTCTGACCAATACGACCTTCAAACTTTTAATAAAAGTGCATACTTACAGTATCTGAAATGCCAGGCAACGCCTGTTGTGAATTCTGTATTAAATATTTCAACCTGCTTTAATCAACGTGTTAATTTGACTGCAGGATGGCGTAGTGGTTTAAGCGGTCGCCAAGCCGCTCACTACTACCCTGAGTGTTGTGAGTCCGATCCCCACATGGGACGACACTTTGTGTGATCCACAAATTGTTGTTCTGAGTCTGGGTGTTCTCTTTGTCCGTTTCATGTATGTTTGTAAAGTCCCCCGCGACACAGAATATATTCCTACTGCGAGAGTCGTCTTTAAAAAAAAAATTGTGATCATTTACTGTCTAAAAGAACATTCTTTACTTTATTTTACAGATACATTAAAAAATAAATGATAATATATGGTGCATGAACCGATAGCCCTTTCCCTGAAGAATATCATAATTACAAGGAAAGACATGACCCAAATACATAATTTATAATTACCATAACCGACCAACAAACGTCGTGAGTGCTAAATTTTCTTATGAGAAATAACATATGCCCAACTCTATACGCCTAGGGTTGTCATCAATATAATTGTTATACATTTACGGCTCAGAGATTTGATAGTATTGCGTTAGCTATTATTATATCTGAGTCGATTCATTAATTCTTCTCTATTAATTATTGACCATTTATGTGATGATCGAGTATTCGCTTACGACTTCAGAGGTCGACAATACAATTCATTGTGGGTTTGATTCAGTACAACTATCTGTCTGTGTACAAATCGCACGTGTTTACATTCAGTTGTATCAGTAATATATTTTCGTTCAATAATACGAACTTAACAATGATGAGAGTCTAATGGTTTTATTAGCTTTAGAGGGGGCAAACGAATACTTGCAACTGAGGAGTTCTGCCGCCTCTGGCGCTTTTCAAGTCCCCCTCTCCCCTTGAATCTGGTTTAAGGCTCGAGTAAGTTCACTCACTCGGTAAAATCAATAAAATAATTATTTATCACCGGTTTACCGTGAAGCCGTTGCATCACTCAAGTCAAGCTAGCCCATTCGTGCCGCTGCCAGGCCCTTCCACAGTAAAATGTCTTGATGTCTTTTATAGGAGGTAATTTAATTATGTTCGTAATTTATTTTAGAGAGAAATCTTATTATAAATACAAACATTGCCTTTTAATAGATCTAACTTAGAACGTTACATTAATAACTTAAGACTTTCCAAAGTTTATATATAATAGGCTTCAGGAGAGAACTTTACTTTGACAACCCTAGCTTAGAATAAATAATATTACCCACACACACACGTATCAGGTCCCTTTCGCTATAATTATTCTAACTAATGGTTACGAGTATTTTTACTTCAAATGGCATATTTTCAATACATCCTAATTTTTTTTTTTGGTACATATGCGAGATTAATTCCGTGTCTTGGAGAGCATGTTAAGCCGTCGGTCCCGATTGCCACACGAACATCTGTTCCAATCGTTACGGGTAGTAAGAACCCTAAAAGTCCGACAATAGTCTTTCTATAGAACTTCGATATCGCTTAATACTTGGGTTGCAAAGGTCTGATGGCAGTTGCAGCCGTATCCGTAGTGGACTTAAAACCGACCAAACCTGGATTGAGAAAAAAGGCTCGGAGAAAGGTTCGGCGGAATTAAGGAAGGCATTTTGTACCATTATGCATCAGTCAACCGTAAAAAGCCGTTATTTTAATATTACAAACAGACACTCCAATTTTATTTATTTGTATAGATAACATTTTTTTCAATTTTTATCAGTCTGTCTGTCTGTTTGTTCCGGGTAATCTCTGGAACGGCTGGACCGATTTCGACGGGACTTTCCCTGGCAGATAGCTGATGACATAAGGAGTAACTTAGGCTACTTTTTTCAGACTAGCTTCGCCCCGCGGCGTTGCCCTCGGTTATAACAACAAACGCGGGTCTCAGCTAGTTTACATATAATTATGTTCTTTTGGAGCACGAAAGAAGAGCATTACAATAAACTTTTTCGAAATAAATTGACAGTACAGTTACAACGCTAGTACCAAACTGATTATTTTATATATTTCTAAATATGTATACAGGGTTACAAGAAAAGTCGTGCTAGATTCGTTAAGGGCGTGGAGTACCCATCATTTCTGACATATTTCACTATGAAACACCCTACCCTAAACTTAACCCTTTTCGAGATAATCGTCTTTTAATTTTTTTATTGAAATTTGCTGATTTTTAGGCTACTACATTTATTTTTGTTTATTTTGTGTACCTTATTATTATTATTTTTGCATTTTTACATGTGTAATAAGATGCTTTAGGACGTCAGTCATTAAAATAGTTCATAAGTTAATTGAATAGATCGTAGTAGACAAGTGAAAGTAAAGAAATAAAAAAAAATATTAGAAAATTATTTTTCTCTAACTGATATCTAAAAACAATATTATGGTAATTGTTCGGCAGATGTTTTTTAAAATATCTACGTTTCATCAGCTATCTAACGAGGTATAACAATCTAGGGTTTGTATTACATTTCGTGGAAATAAAGTAGTTGGGACGCTCCAGGTAACAGTTCTAACGGTCCCGCGCCTATTGTCCTTCAAGTTAAGACGCACCAAGCGAGCGAGACAAGTGACGATTTATGTAGGTGCGAATGAAAGAAAAAAAGAAAAAACCGGTTAGGGCTGGGAATACAACAGGGGGCATTGTTTGGTTGTCACTAGTTGTCAGTCTGCTTTTGTGCTTCGTACATAGTAGATGTGATATCGTTTTGCTCTTTTTCTCGACTTGGCTGTG